CTCCTCGCTCAGCCAGTGAGCGGCCGGTCCACATGTGGGATCCGAACCCTCGGCGGGAGTGCTGCCGCGCTTCCCAAGCGGCGCACTGTAGCAGTGCGCCACTGGGCCGGCCCGAATGCCAAACATTCTTGAAGGAAATTAGAAATGCCAGTCTAGTGAATATATGAATGATAAGAAAATGAAACAGCCTTATAGTGAACCGGATAAAAGATCAAACCATTACCTTAAGCCAAAGCCTAATCCAGAACAAGGCCCTAATTCTCTTCAATTCTATGAAGGTTGAGAGAGGTGAGGAGGTTGCAGAAGAAAAGTTTGAAGCTAGGAGACGCTGATTCATGAGGCTTAAGGAAAGAAACTGTCTCCATAACATAAAAGTGCAAGGTGAAACAGCAAGTGCTGATGTAGAAGCTGCATCGAACAACTGGCCAGAAGATCTAGCTTAAGTAATTGATGAAAGTGGCTGCACGAAAAAACAGATTTTCAATGTAGATCAAACAGGCTTCTATCGGAAGAGGATGCCATCTAGGACTTTCATACCTATAGAGGAGAAGTTAATGCCTGGCTTCAAAACTTCAAAGGATAGGCTGATTCTTAGGTGCTAACGTAGCTGAAGACTATAAGTTGAAGTCGATACTTATTTACCATTCTGAAAATCCTAGGGTCCTTAAGAATGACACTAAATCTACTCTGCCTGTGCTCTATAAATGGAACAACAAAGCCTGGATGACAGTACATCTTTTTACAGTATAGTTGACTGAATATTTTAAGCCTACTGCCAAGTTACAAATCAGCCCAATTTGACTCATATATCCACTCCATGAAACAATCACTGTGGCTATGGGCTAAGGCATTATGTTATCCAGCTTGGGTCAGATGCTTACCCCTTAACCAAATACTATCAGCAGAGAAGTAACTGATACAAGTCTTGTGTTTGGAAGGGGGAAGCTGATAAAGACACACCCTCATGAAGGAATTACTGAGTTAGGCAGCCACCCTGAGGTATAGCTACTGTAATTTCCATGCCATATTTTTAAAAAATATGGTATTTTAAAAAGTTTGTAGAAAAACTGAATTAAAAGATAAATATTCCCATGAACTTTCTGAAGTACCCCTATATATCCATCAACTTCTATATTACAGTAATTTTTCCAATTCTTGTCCTTAGCATCTCTCCTTTGCCTTTAATTAGAGTAACTCCCAACTGATCATCTTCTGTTCATTCTCTCAACTCCAGTGTGGTATGTTATATGAAAGAGTTTTGGACATTATTATTTTGTGGGATAGGGCTGGAGAAGCTAAAGACAAGTATAACTAGAGCAATCAGCTAGGCAAAACATAAGGGCCTAAAGTAAGGTAATAGTTTTGGGATATAGAGGAGATAGTTCAACATCTTTTAAAGAGTAGAATGAAGATGATATCAACACCAACTGGCTGTATGATACAAGAAAGACAAAGGAAGCAAAAAATTGACTCAGATTTCTAGCATTGGTGGCTGACTGTATGCTGGATAGGACACCTTGTATTAGGGCAAGAAATACAGAATATGGAAGCAGAGGATGAGTCTATCTAAGGAAATGCTGACCTAAGACACTTACGAGAAATATAGGCAAGGCACTTTCACTTGATACTTAGATAACAGATCTGGTCATCAAGGTATCTTGATGACAATAAAGATACCACAGTAGATGAGATTTATTTTTTGAGATAACATATATTCACAGCAGGTCCGTAGATATTAGACCTTGTATTAGCTGCCAGAGATATAGAATCCTTACCAAGGTACATAAGGGACTATCAAGGTTGGTGAGGATCTAATCTTAAAACAAATAATTGGGGTACAGATAAAAGGAGAGTCAGAAACAATTGAAGCTGATTCATCAAGAGAACAATGAATATGTTAACATGGGGAAACATGGGCAAAATAACAGGTTAAGTGTATTAGTCTGTTTCTGTTGCTCATAACAAAATACTTGAAACTGGGTGATTTATAAAGCAAACAAAATTTATCGCTTATAGTTTCTGAGCCTGGGAAGTCCAAAGTTCATCCAGTGGTGGCGACAGTCTCACACTGCAAGATGGTGGAAGCAGAGAGAACAGAGAGAGAGAGACTAACCTCCTCATTCACTCTCTTTTTAAAGCGTTCAGAATCTCACCCTGCGCTTATAGTTTCTGAGCCTGGGAAGTCCAAAGTTCATCCAGTGGTGGCGACAGTCTCACATTGCAAGATGGTGGAAGCAGAGAGAACAGAGAGAGAGAGAGACTAACCTCCTCATTCACTCTCTTTTTAAAGCGTTCAGAATCTCACCCTGACTGCCATTATTAATCCATTCACTATTGCACAGTTCTACAATCCAATCACCTCTTCAAGGCTCCACCTTTCAATTACCATAGAAGGATTTCCCACCCTTTTAACAGTCAGAGTGGGGGCTAAGTTTCTAAAACATAAATCTTGGGGAACACAATTCAAGCTTCAGTGAGTTTGGGGGGACATAATTCAATCCACTACATTAAGTAAGGATAAAGAAAAAGTGTGCCCAAAGTCTTCCAATTAAATGGAATCGGGCTAGCAGCCCCAGGTACAGTTTCCTCTAATATCTCACTAAATAATACCTACAATACAGAATAAAGCAAAAGTTCATACACATACAACTAAAACCAAAAGATTACATAATGCCAACATCTGGGAGGAATTTCAATTATAATGCAAACAAATGGTAGTAAATTGAAATGAAAAGTAGAACACTCAGGCTTTGTCTCATGAAACTGTTTCATCCTGAAAAAAAAAAAAAAAAGATATATCTTCTCTCTTCTATTGTCTGCCCATTAACTCAAACACAGGGTCTCTATGTATGTGTCACTACATAGTTTTGGTTACCTATGTACCTACTGCAAGCAAGTGCATCTCTTCTGAGGTAGTCAGAGTACCATTAATTTAACCCCACCCCTAGTAACTTCTTGTATCAATTCAGAAACAACAATTCCCAAAACATAAATAAGGCAGGAAGTTGGTAGATGGTGGTGAAAGAACTAATAACAGCATAATACATCATAGTTTGCATAATTACAAAGGTTCTCACAGCACACATTTGGATATTATCATTTTCCTTATACTCCACAGGTACAACATATGAGAAAAGCAGGCAGAGAAGTAGAAAATACTACATCAGTAACACAACTTTACCAGTTATATGCTTGAAAAAACTGGGAATTGGGTTAGGAGCTATGTACATTAACTACTCAAATGAGATCTTAGAAGGGGGAATTAGCCACTGTATAATCAGACAGGAAATTAAACCAAGAGCAACTTCCCAAATCCTATCTGTTGGCAAATAACAAGTCAAGAGATCTAGTGCTCATTCAAGGATAAGAAGAGGAAAAAAACAACAGAAACTCTGGATAAAATCTTATAACTATTTAAGGAAAAGCATAACTTTACAAATAATTACTTAGAGGAAACAGAAAAAAAACAAAGCTTTAATAAGGGAAATTCAAAAAGTTCATAAAAAGATTTATATTATTTCTCAATTCCATTTTTCCACGAACTTACCTCCCTGCTTGAGGGCTCAAATAAATGTACCCTGATTTCCCTGTTTATTTAACAAGCTAATAAAGCACTAACTCTTCTAATAAAATTAGTTCAAATTGAACTAAAATCACATACATTGTTTTTGATCACACTATGACTGGTTTAAACTAAGGTACTCCAGTTCTAAGTTCAGTATTCTTCATGCTATATCTTTAGGTTTACATACTTTCCCCTTACCTTTCTGTGGTAAGTAGAGCCAGGCTATGAACATCTCGTTTCTCATTTGCATGCTTATGCAGTTCATCAATATAATCCATAAGTTTCTTTTCAGCTTGCTCAGCTTTCCATCTCTTCTCTCTCTCTTGGTCTAGCTGTTCAACAAGGGACTGAAAGAAAACAACTATGTTATATGAACTTGGAAAAGTTACCTACCTTCTTACAGCCTCAATTTGCTCATTTATAATAGGGGAATAATAGTACCTACTTCAAAGAGCTGTAGTGAGAATTAAATTAATGGAAGTAAAGGATATACAACATCAATAAATGTCATCTGCTGTTATTATTATATAGTTATTTTTCTATTTTATTCTATATATTCTATATATTTATATTATTATCATAATAATTTTTTTCTTCAATATTAAAGTCTTCACAGTTGAGAATAAGGGGAGCAAACCAGCAGCATGAAAGGTGTGAATCATTTTAAAAGGCAATTCTGTTACTGGAAGACCAGTGCACAGTACAATCAAAATAACAACCAGTACTTCAACAAGTAAAATAAGAGCAAGTAAATAAAAAAATACAAAATACAAAATATGAAGTTAATGAAAAATACAACATAACAAATCAACATTTACCAAAAATTCTCAACAACACGAGAATTAAGGCAAATACTGAAGAATTTTAAAATTCTGGAACATCTTTTAATCTGGGATCCACGGGTTCAAAAGTAGGTTTCAGGAGAGTCCATGAAAACCTTGAAATTATATATAACATTTTTTGAATGTGTTTAAAAATAGACTTCTTTCTTGGAGAAGACTTGTAGATTTCCTTAGATATTTCAGGAAGGGAAGTTACTTATTCTCTTCACTCCATTAAAATTACAAACAATACTTTTTGCTAATAAAAACATGCATAATTTTTCTGGGACTTTGTATGTAAAACTAAGATCATTCACATTCATTTTTTCTGAACCTCCTTAATCATACCCGGTAAGTGTTGTCTTCTGAGCTACTTTTTTCTACTTTAATTATTTCAGTCTTTGGCTCTTCTGATTCTCGTAATATACGACAGTTTGCTAAAGATGATCTTACATATAATTCTTTAAGGTAAGGTTGTCTCATTTTACGATTGTAACTGTAAAGAATAAAATATAGGATAATCCAAGAAAATTAGTGTTTATACTTTAACATTAAAATTTGTAGTCATATATGCAAACAACTTTTTAAAAAAGAATATTAAATAAAACAGTAATAACTTGGACAAACTATTGAATGGGTATGCTTTGTTGATTAATGAGAGCCTCAAGATTTTAAAAAAGATAATGACTCTACAAATGCTCAGTGTTCAACATATTCCAGTAGGGTAGAATTCTTGGCTATATCAGAATAACTTAAAAAGTACTGTCAGTACTCAGGACTATGGTAAGATGACCTCCCCCAAGAACTCAGAAAAACAGTAAATATAATGACCCTTCAGGAATTAAAAGTTTAAAACTGACATATAATCAATCAGAGTAAATAGATTTCTACATTACTAGCCAGAGGCCAAAGAGATTCCAGGGTATGTCCTGACCTAAGTGAACTGAATGTTGAATGTATAAGTAAGAGTATAATTAGGTAGCTATGGAAGAATTACAAAAATAAGCAACTTAGATAATAATACAGAGAAGGGGATCATTTTACATAAATTTACATTAATGTACTGACCAGATCTGAGCCGAACAGACTGAAAAGTCAAATCTTTGACTTTAATAAAGTAATTTACCATGAGACACCTTTAAAGAAGCCAGCCAAACTAAAACAAGTACCTTACAAAAGGGTTGCTGCCCCTACTGTGGTGCTTAATAGTTTGGATAGTTTTGGCATAATATGGGATTTTTGATCTTCGAGGAACTTTTCTATTGCATTCTTTTCTGTTTCCATAGTCACTTTCAGAAGTTATATCTGTGTCTCTTTTTGGTCGGAGCTCTTTCTCGGGAACATTATCTATTAAAGAATTAGATGTCTGGAATAAAAAAAACCCAACAAAGTTTGTTAAAAGTTCAATTTAACATAAAAAATTTTAAATTTAAAATTTCCTAAAATATTATGGTTTTCTATAAAATTAAGGTATATTTGAAATTAAAGACAGGGAATTTAGATTTAGGTATGAACAAGCAAGCTTCCACCAAGTTGATTTTCTTGTAGATAAAAATTATAGACTCCGGGAAAAATATAACAAAACCAAAATAGTACCCAGAGGCCTTGGAAAGTGAACAAAAGTAGGATTATTCTGGAGGGGAGTTGACACTTGGAAAAATGGACCAGAATGGAATGTTTCCGTTTTTATCATTTTTAGCCTGAGAATATATCAAAATCAGCACCATGCAGGGAGACTAAACCTCAGATAGGAAAAACCACAGATCTTTGGGCCTGAAGAGTGAGAGGGCAGTATGGGGTAGATTGCAAGTAGTCCACTAATGCATAAAACAAATGAAATGAAGTTAGAACTGCTGCCTATGAGACAAATTTATAGTTTGAATCAAACCAAGTTAAATTCTTACTAAAACAAAAATGTGAACACTCTTTGGAGGACTATAACAGAGGCTAAAGTCTCCACAACATTCATAATGTCCAGGATGTGTTCCAAAATTACCACAGAAAGAACCAGAAAAATTGACCAATTCTCAAGAGACAAGGGGATCACATGGAAGCCAAACCTGAGATGACCTCAATGTTTGAATAAGCAAACAAGGACTTTAAAATAGTGATTATAACCATACTTAATGAGATAATAAGAAAATATGCCTGTCATAAATGAAAAGAAAACTCAGCTCAGAAATAGAAACTATACAAAAATGGAAATTCTACAACTGAAAAATACACTGTCTAAAGTAAAAACTGCCTGGCTGGGATTAGGATTAACAAGCAGAATGAGGCATAAAGAAAGAGTAAGTGAACTTGATAGTTCAGTGGAAATTATTCGATATGAAAAATACAGAGAACCAAAATGATAAAATGTACAGAGCCTTGAAGAATTGTGACAAAATATCAAAAAGTCTAAGTGAAATTTAAAAAAGAGAAAAGAAAGTGGCAGAAAAAATTTGAAGAAATTATGGCCCCAAATTTCCCAAATTAGGGGCCGGCCCGGTGGCGCACTGGGTAGTGCGCCGCTTGGGAAGCGCAGCGGCGCTCCTGCCCGAGGGTTCGGATCCCACATACAGACCGGTTCCCGCTCACTGGCTGAGCGAGGCGCGGGAGCAACACTGAGGGTTGCGATCCCGTTGCCGGTCCCCAGTCCGGTACGGGGGCAACACTGAGGGTTGCGATCCGTTGCCGGACACGGAAAAAA